TTTACAGAGATTTTGGGTTTTCATTCATTCATTGTTGCACTGTTTTCTCCACCCTCATCCCCAGGTCTTTTTCTAAAAAAAAAAAAAATCAGTATTTTTTACAAGAGACCTATTTTATGGATCAAGCTTTCAGTGCATTACATCATAGAACTTTTTTTTCTACTAGTTTATTTGCAAAATTCAAATACAAATTTAACAAATTCTTTCCATTTCCCTCACCACCCCCCACTCCCCCATCAAACAGTGCAACTCAAAGATTAATTCCCCCTTCCCCCTACAAATCCACATCCCTCTGCTTCCAGCCTCTCCCACCCTTCCTGGATCCTTATACTAATTCCACAATAACGGTTTTATACAATATTTATCCTTATGTGACTGAGTTAGTTCACTCATGCATCATAGAACTGTTTGCAAAACTCAAGTTCTCAAGGATTTTGCCTATGTTTTCTTTTCAGTGTTTTAATATTTGAGTTAATTTTTATGTGAATTATGAGTTGAGATTAATCTTTCTGTTGTAAGGAGGGAGAGGTCCTTGGAGAGGGACACCATGCTTTTACATCTTTACGTCTTCATGGGCTTCACAAAGAACAGGCTACTAAAGTAATTTCAGATCCCTCAATAATGTTATACCTGAAAACATTTAATTACTAATTATTAATCTTGCCATCACTAATCAGGTGATACTTTGTTCTTGGCAAGCAAAAATTAGCCATGGTAGAAAATGTTCTTGTATTTGGGCATTTATTTACTGTGATTTTGTTTTTCAGCATCGTTGATGCAAACAGGTCGTCTGGCCAAATTGCACACACTTGATTTGAGCTATAATGACAGCATCTGTGACACAGGGTGGACCATCGTCTGCCAGAATGTGCAGTTCCTCCGAGACCTGACTGAGCTGGACATCAGCCTTCGGCCATCCAACTATCAGGATTGTGGACAATGGTTTGGGCACTTGTTAGGTGCCGTGGCCAAACTTTCTACAATCACTGAGATAGGTATGAAAAGATGGGTTCTCTCAACTTCGCAGGAAGAAGAACTCAAAATCTTCAACCAGGGTCACAAGAGAACCATTCATTTTGACCACGATGGATTTTGTTAAGTTCATCTTCAACATTTTATCAGCTGTAGACCATTTTCTGAAGTAGGAAGAAAATACGAATGGCTGCCAGTGGGATCAACTATCAACTTCTGGGCTGCTTGGTGAGACTTACGTCACAAGGACACTCTCAACCTATTGCCCTCAGGACTGACTCATAGCCGACCCTCCAGTGGGCGTCCAAGGCTGTGAATTGCATGGGAGGAGATTACTCATTTTCCTCCTAATACGTTACAAGGACTCTATAAATATGCACATAGAGTGATCTAAGGTGAACTTATGCTTATTCTCTATCTTGTGGTCAAAAGATGATATTTTTTTCCCCCTGTAAGGGATTTTTAAATTTAATTTAATTTTTAAAAGGGTTTCCAGTCATTCATTGTTGCACTTTTCTCCCTCCCCACACCCTCCCCCCAGGTCCACTCCACTCTGCAGCCTTCATTCAGGACTCCTGTCATGACAATAATACCTAATCACATATCCCTTTTAAACAGTTCTCTCCCTTATCTGTTTCAATGTAGTATACATCATTCCACCCCTCCTTTTCTGTATTTCCTCTACCTCAACGTCAGTCCCATTTTACCACAGTGGCCCTATGCAATATTTGTCCTTTTGTGACTGAGATATTTCACTCAGCATAATGTCCTCCAGGGCCACCCATTTTGCAAACTATTTCATGAGTTCCTTGTTTTTCAGTGCAGCATAGTATTCCATTGTGTGAATATACCAGAGCTTCTCTATCCATTCATCTGTTGATGGGCACTTGGGTTGTTTCCAGCTCTTTGCTATTGAGACTAAAGCCGCTATAAACATGGGTGTGCAAAGATGATATTTTTGAAGGGACTTTTGCTTGTATTGAATACACATTCAGCTCACCTAATGGCTAGAAGCTCTCCCCCAAAACGTGTAGATTCTGATAATATATGTACTTTTTTCCTTGCCCTGAAATTTTCCACCTCATTTTCATTTATATGACAAATGTTCCAAATATGAGGGTGTGGGTTTGCGAAAGGGAGAATTTTCTAATGTGAAAGGCACTAGATGGGTAAAGGTTTTATGTTGGTTTTACTACTATTACATGTGTCAACAACATTCTTCATCGGGACGTTGGTGTGTCATGTCATGATCTGGTGTCTTTTATTGCATATATGTTGTTGGTGTTATGTGCCTTGGAGTCCACTGGGACTCACAGCGACCCTATGAACAATAGCTCTGACCCCTTCCCTATCCTGAGCTAATCTCATAGTGTCCAACACACCTACCCCTCATTACCCCAGTCACTGTGTCAGTCTTCCTCTCCTGCGCTGTCCTTCTACCCTTCCAAGCATGATGTTCCTGGCCACATGCCCAAAGTACGTGCGACAGAGCTTCAAAATCCTTGCCTCCAAGGAACAGCTTGGTTTCACTTTCTCCAGGACAGACCTGTTCATTGTCTTGGAAGTCTGTGGAATGTTCAATACTCTTCTCCAGCACCACAACTCACTGGCACCAATTTTTCTTCTCTCATCATTAGTTAGTGTCCAACTTCCTGATGCATAGCAAGTAATTGAAGTTCATGGCCTGGATAAGACACACCTTAGTCTCTGACGTCATCGTTCTTTAGTACTGTAGAGAAGCCCTTGACAGCGAACTTTCCCAGTACAATTTATCTTTTTATTTCATGACTGCTGGTGCCAAGAGTGTTGATTGTGGATTTGAGCAAACGGAAATAATTCATAATCTCAATCGTTTCTCCATCTATCATGGTGCGAAAGGCCCAGAAGTGAGAATCTTTGTTTTCTTGATGTTGAGCTGCAATCCAGCTTGATATATATAAACTATAAATACTAATAATAGTCATTGACATACAAATAAATACTAGTAAGACTCAATCAGAACTTCAAAAAGTAGTTAGTGCCACAATCACATTTGGTTAAAACAAAATGAAACATTAAAAAAATAAAAATCAGCAAGCATATTGTTAATATTAACTTTGAACTTATTTCTCTTTTGCATGGGATTTTCTCCATAAAACTCTTTAGTTGGTTTAAAATCTTGGTGTTGCCTCTAAGGGATTCTTGACTACTTTTTAGTTTCTTTTTAAAGATCATGAAAGTCATTTCATGTTACATATTTGCCCATATGATTCTATTCTGATATACTCTAATCAAATTGTTTGATTTCATCCTGTGTTATTAATAACTCACACTGCAACCATTGCTTGAAAGTCATGTACAATTTACTATCAGTGCGGCTTCTGGAAAAAAGTGATCAGGGTTTGAGTGGCATAAAAGAAGATGTTTGGGAGTAATGTGGATGTTCCTTGCTTCTCTGGACATTACCAAGAATCCATGGATACGTGCTCATACAAAACGCTGTATATAATTATACAGCAACCAAACTGGAAACACCCCAATGCTCTTCACTGGGTAAATTGTTAGACTATGTTACAACAGAATGTTAGTTGCCATCAAGTCAATTCTGACTCATAGCTACATTAATACTCATGTTTGTTACTGGGCCCTCCAGCGAGTCTTTGGAGTTGGAGCTAACTCACAGCTCACCCTCCAGAGAGTATTTGAGGGTTGTCTATGGCCATCCCACCCTGAACGTGCCCCAATCTCATCAGAGAGTATTTGGAGGCTGCAAACTGAATATATTTTTCCTTTGAACTGTTGGTGGATTTGAATCATCAGAGGGGACAACAGTATGACTCCCTCGGTACTAGGCCACTAGAGCTTCCACAAGGAATACTATTCAACAGTAAGAAGAAATGGACCATTGATGGACACAACGACCTGGAGGGACGTCAAGGGGAATTATGCCAAAGGAGAAATGTAATCTTGGAAGGTGTCATCCTATGTGGTTCCGTTCATATGACACTGTTGAAATAACAGGTATAAAACATACTAGGAATTTCCAGGAGTTATAGGATTAGGAATTTGATATAACTGTTGTTGTTGTTGTTGTGTGTCATTGAACAACTTGCAACTCATAGCGACCCTATGTACAACAGCCCTGAACCCTGCTCTATCTTGAGCCAACCTTATTGTCTCTGACACACCTACCCCGATTACTCCGGTCACTGAGTCAGTCCATCTCATGGAGGGCCTTTCTCTCCTGTGCTGTCTCTCCACCCTCCCAAGCATGACGTCCCTCTCCAAGGACTAGTCCCTCCTTGCAACATGTCTAACGTATGTCAGATGAAGCCTCAATCCTTGCCTCCAAGGAGCAGCCTGGCTTCACCCTCTCCAGGATGAAGCTGTTTGTTCTCCTAGCTGTCCGTGGTATATTCAACACTCTTCTCCAGCACCAACAGCTCAAGGGCAACAATTTTCCTTCTATCATCCCTAGTCATTGTCCAGCATAACATGTAACTATGAAGACCATGGCCTGGATCAAGTGCACCTTATTCTCCAGAGTGACACCATTGCTCTTCAGTACTCTAGAGAAGTCCCTGAAAGCAGACTTTCCCAATGCAATTC